GTGTAGGAATTGCGATTCTTTCGCGAACGCCATATGGCCCGAGCTGCAATTAGCAATGCGACCAGGGCAAGAACAGTCAACACAGCTGCCACGATCGAGATGATAAGCAGATCGTACGAGGTGTTCTGTGCTCCGTGTACACTGGATGGACAAAGGACACGGGGAGTGGAGAGAAATTGGCACCGCGATAAAAAAAAAATGGATTGTGATGGTAATCGAAAAAGCGATATTTTCATAATTCACAATTATTTGAGATCAGCTCGCACCAATCGGAATGCGCTTAACATAAATATATACATATATATACTGTATTTTCTTTAAGATTTGATGTTCTTTCTGGGAGCTGATCCTAATACAAAGCTGTTTCATTTGTATTAAAAACAATCGCAGTCAGCGTATCCATGAATTGACTGTGATAACCCGGCTCGAAACCCGTCCAGTGCACCATATGGTACCACCAAACTTTCCCAAGTGGTTGCTTGTCTCTTACTTTGTACGATTGAATAACGTCTGTCTGAAGTGGAGCGAAACCAACTTTTGAAAGCCTTGAATTCACGATGATACATTCTTTGTACCAGCTAGATTGCCTTCTTACAAATGATGCCCCGCATCATAGGGAACTCACCGTGCCTTTCCGTCAGCAGTAAAGCAGGTCAAGTTTACCTAATTCACTGTCATGAAATTTTCGTTGGTTTTCAGATAGCATCTTTCCCGAGATGCAATACATAGCGTTCACAAATTATCCAATAGTGGTTCAATGGGATACTGCCAACAGTTTTTCTTGAAATACCAAGTGATTCGACTAAGGAGTTTGGATTGGCACCTGGCTGATTCAGCATTTGCAACACGTTCACATTTGCACATTTCGAAGTCTTCGATTTTTGGCATGATCGCACAGATTATCCAATCAGTGAACAGTGTCATGTTCCCGTCACACTAGGTGAAAGGCCATTGGCTGAGTGCGACATTACAGGTTGGCAGGTCAATGGCTGTCCCGGAACATCGATCAACGACTAAGTGAGTAGGTATCAGAACTGTAACATTGCGCAATCAGAAGCTACGTTATTACTCATATGGTTGGTTTTTGTTTTCCAAAATGCGGAAGGTTATGGAAAAATGTGACTTCTCAGGGGTCCGACATAGCAGGAGCTTGACTGTATACACACAGCTATAGGGCAACAAGGAACCAAAAATCCCCTCTTGAGTATTCACATAGTCCCGTTTCGGTTTTATGCCGGCCAACGGTAGATTAATTCGGCCAGTTTGCAGTAACGCAATCGTCTTTTGATGGTGGAAGTTATTTGTGCCGCTTGTGGCCAAAAATAAATATTATAAATTTTATTCCAAGGGAACTGGATGTATGAAATATTATAAAGCATGATGGAAATTGCAACGTGAATGAAGTGAAACCTAATTACTTCCACCGCTCGTGAATTAAGTAATAGAGGAAATCACGTGGGAAGAGGTCTACCTCTGGGAGGAAAAATTCAATCTTCCAAAGATCGGTTGCTTCGAATGTGACTAGCACGTTGTTATGGAAATCTGCTATCCATTCCTTGCTTGGTCTAAATTGACCCCAAGGCAATTCTCCAGGGGTGCTTCCATTCACCAACCGTCCGCAGTTTCAATTTGGCTTACATCTTTCTGATCAATAGGAACAGAAATTTTAATCATGATTGTCCCTTCGCGGAAGTGTCTCTTCTGTCTACATACACCACGCGGTTCAATCATCATTTTTTTGTTTCTTTCGTTTGCCAATCGGAATTGTGAACGACAGTGATGCATTTCGGTTGAAGGGCATGGTAGAACCCATAGAGTGCTCGTAATCCACACTATCTGATTGCATTTTATTCGTGCCAATCGGTTGAGAAAAGTGTAGTCGTTGATTATTCTCTAATTTGATTCAAGATTTCAAAAATCACGAATTCGATTTGTGCTTGCCTCACCTTCCTGTTTCGTAGGAGAATTCATCTGAATTGATCTATTAAAACACAGGGTTTGAAATTGGCACTTATCGATCACATGACTCCACAGAGTTGTGTGTGTGCGTGTGTGTGTGTGTGTGTGTGTGAATGATGGCAAATTATGTGGCCACTAACTACCCGGGAACATGAATTTTAAACACTTTGTCAGTGAATTAGCAAACCACTGTCTGATATAGATACACGGACCTAGAATGCAACAAAAACACCCCGCCCCCCCCCTTGGGCCCGGAAAACAGGTAAGAACAGGACTAACCAACTGAGCAAAATCTGTCGTTATTGTTTGAGCATCAAAGGCAAAACAACACTGTGCATTTAGATCAACACAGGGAACGGACATACAAACAGATCGGCAATAAGTGGAAAAAATTAAAGCAAAACTACCGAGATAATATAAACAAACCGTTGGGCGGGTGAAACACGTCACGAACAAAACAACGAAACAATGATATCGAATAGATACATAGCACACAATATGCACGACCCTGACCAGCATGAATCGTATCCACAATCTGGATGGAATAAAATCCGTTCCTCTGAACGACTTTGATCGGGAACGTTTGAGAAATCAAACAAAGGTGTAGGATGACTCAAACCTGGTTGTTGTTGTTGTTGTGGTGGTGGTGTTGGTTTATCCACTGTGGTAACAAGACGAGCACATATCTGAGACACCTCACGATTTGCCTCCATTCCGATAGTGTCGGTGGTTGGCAGAGTAAACGATTTGATATCATTTATATCCATTTTAAAATAGACGATACAAGCGAAGTTTCCGGCAAAATCGTACCAAGCTGCACAAAACGTACGTACACGAGAAAACGCTAGCCAGTAAAATTCTGACACAGAAGCCCGGATTAGTTTCTGCATACACCGAATTAGCTGGTTATGCCCACGTTAGCGAGGTGAATGGCCGAGAGAGGATGGTTAGCTCCAAAAAACCGCAACTAAACAAATTGAAAATTTCAATCGAACTGTGAGTGAATTGACGCGTTGTGTGCGTAGTGAGCAGCAGAACCGACGGAACGAAATGAAAATCAAAGCACCGCGGAAAAGTGCACCTACTTTGACCAGCCCGTTATCGTACTGTGCATATGAGGAAACGGAAAAATTATCCTGTGAAATATGAGATGAATGGAAAAAGGCAGACCGTGATCTCGGAGAGCAACTGAGCGATGACTTAAATGAAATGTACTTTCTCCAAACAAATCTTACGACCTAAAGTAGCAAGCTTGGATTAGCCCATTCGATTGTTCAGAGGCACCAGGCAGTCTTGATGGTCTTGGCACGCACTGCTGACGAGTCCCAAACAGGACAAAACAGCTGTCCAGTGCTCTTTGTTGGCTATCACAAATCTTACGACTGATAAGAAAAGACGTACGGTTATGAACAACATTTGCAAAATGCGCGCGTGTCGTTGAACAATAAGAAACAAAAATTCAAGATTCTGTAACAAACGATTTCAATAAAACGCCTCTTTCTGTCATTGCATCATCTGGTTCATTTCTGTTTATTGATAACTGATTGTTGAACTTATTTTGGTCGCAGACCGTGAAGCACCACAACGACTGATCATGTGATATTCAGCACTTTATTCATATTACTTTGGAATTTGTGTGCCTGCTCCGGGATCATCCGACATCCAACACGTTTCCCTGGCACACCAAGATGTGTCCGAAATCCTCATGATGGTCACGGGAGTGGGTGGCTCGGGTTGTAGCTGATCACCATTCCCTTGCACATCGCGAATTACTCCTTTACGTCCAAGCACCTCAAATAGCTTCTGCTGAAGAAGTTCTACTCATTACCTTCCTGTGGTGAAGCTGGTTCTCACTAAAGTGAGCGGATGAACTGCCAACATCCGGGGCTATAACCGAGAGGGTGAACCAGTTGAAGCCTCCGGTTGTGAATTTCCCAAAAACATTCACCTGTCTTGACCAGGAAAACCTGACAGTATTCCGCCAACAGGTAAATCACGGAACTTCTTTTTTCGTCCATGGAGATTACTGTACCGTGTGATTTGTTTAGCACACGGTCTGGTCTCAGACACATGGGTGAAACATAAGTCAGATCACAGCTGTTCAGTGTTTATTTTTAGTCTGAAAAAAGAAACTTAGTGAAAAACACCGTTTTTTTGGAGGCAGATTTACCAAGAAAGCTGCATTTCTTTTCAACTGTATGATCTGTTCATTTGATGAAGCTCTCCTTTCCGCTGATTACGTAATAAAACGTTAAAAAAGGAAGAAACAGACACAAGTGATGAATAAAGAGAGAGGGTGAGAGAGAGAGAGAAGAACGAGTAAAGGCTGTAGAAACTGTGGGCGGTACACGCCGCAATTCTCAGGATTGTGTGGTTCACCCAGTTTGCTAATACAGACTTTCCAGTGCTTAATAATCTTGATAACTGCATTGTACACTGCTATATCGATCAGTAGCACTCTGGTTGTACTAGGGAGAAAGACTGTCACGTGTCAGCTGAATGCCCACCGAGTTCGCTGTTCAGTGTGTACGTTCTGCACTCCCTGCATCTCGTCTTGGAGCCATGTCCGCGCATTGCGAGCTTTTTATCGGTTTAACATACCGCCCGGCAATCTGACAGGAAGGGGAATTCGAACATCAACAAATGCGTTGCCTGTAAAATTTAACTACAGCGCATCTGTCATCACTGCCGTCATTCGCGGGATACATGACAAACAATGACAAAATTCCGTCGGTCGTGTTTGACATACAATTGCTTCTAGTATGAGATCAATCGATTAAACGACCTGGGGAAGGTTTTCCAAGAGGGTCGAACAGTTGGCACCAACGCCTTGTGTTTTGGTATCTCGTTCGTCGTGGCTAAGACAAGTAAATTTCCTCAATAATCATGTGAGCACGATGCACGACGCTTTTCAGTGAGAGATCCGCTCGAGCCATGGATCTCGTGTCCTATAAAAGCACGTGCTGGTATTTGGAAACATGCCCATAGGTGAGAGAAACAGGGAACACGCATAATGCCTACCACATAGGGGTAACAAACACGGGTTTCATTCCAACCGACTAATTGTAAGGAATCATTAGCTGTATGGCATTATCTTTCGACGTGTGCTATTATCATGTCAGGCCAGTTACGTTGATATATATATATATATATATATATATATATATATATATTTCACACGCCTCTGAATCCAGACTGTGTGACAAGCAAATCATGGTGCAATAACCTCCGTAAAAAAACATTCCATGATTTACATGTGGGCGGAATATTGCGAGGTTGCCCCGGCCAAGGAACGTTAATTTTCTTGAGGAATCCAACACCGGAGCCATTGGTTAGACAAAGCCTGACCCGCAAGGCAGCAGAGTGTGTGTATGAAAACTGCAACCTACTGTGTCCAGTTCATCGGATAATACGCTGTTTGAACCGGATCCAACGTCCAAGGTGCTCAATACACCTCGATGCCCAATTGAGCCGATGACCACTGCCACAACCGGGAAAGTGTGCGTGTTTTGTGCACCTCCTCGTGGTTGGTTTGGAATCAGGTGAACTATCCCGGTGGTCCACCAACCCGGTTATAGCCATGGATATCGGCACTTCGTCCTCGTCACGAGAAGGCAGTAAGTGAGTAGGGCTTCCTCAGCAAAGGCTATTTGAGACGTTTGGTCGTATGGGAGCATTGCGTGAGTGGTAAGAGAAGGATGGACAGACGCCATCCTAGACAACCGCCCCCCCCGACCATACTAAGGTTTCCAGAAGCTTTGAAAACGTTCGCGTAACTAAAACTAACTGTCAGGGGGACACGTAAAATGGATCGGTTAGTGTTGCAATTGCCGGTTTGTGTTGATACCACTTGTGCGCATTCAGTTTGTCTCAAGTGTTGAGTCTCGCGATGGGTCAAACCGTCAATGTGGCCATCATAGAAAAGAAGGGATCAAACTGATTACCGTTCCTGTTAATCTATGTTACACAACATCCTGTTCGTGTGTTCTAATCCGGAATAGGCTCTTCGAGATTCTAGATGCATCGTACTCAGCGAATGTAAAGTCCTGGAATGCATCGGCATAGTGCGTACACCGAATTTTGATATAAGAGTTACGTTGATGGGACCTGAAACACTGCACACACACACACACACTGACGTGACGCCTTGGTTAGGCTGTTTGGCTGAGCCACATAATTCAAAACACACACAGCATATCACTATATACGACGGGAAAACCAGGTATAGCCTCCTAATTGCTAGATTACGATGCTTTCACGTGATTTGATTATTTATTATTTGAATGTTCTCTTCGAATGATAGCAAGAAATTGTAAAAGAGCCGAGAGTAGCGTCATCAGTTCATTCGAATTGTGCTCTCAACCGAAACGTTTAAAAGTGCACTTTTAAGAGTAATACACACGAAGAAAATAAACCACTGATTGGCATGGAAGCACAGCACATTTACTGGTTAGGACACTGAGGCAGTTGTTCTAACCACTGACTGAGATTGATCACCAAATATCCTCCCGATTAGAATACAACTTAGATCATCGAGTTTCTCCTGCCCAAAACAGGCTTGTACGACCAAGTGACTGGGGTTTGGAGACTGGAGGGAGCGGATTCGACAAAAGTGTTCCGTCCAACAGCTCGACCCCGCATTGGACAAGGTAGCAATGAGGTCTATGTAGTTGTCATTTTTGACTGGCACAAACTTTGGAGATCAGACATGCCCTGTTTATTTCAACTGCATCATCACTGATGTACAAGAGGCAGAAGGATATCCGTCTCAATGATCGAGATCATCGTCATCATCATCATCATCATCATCGACAAAAACAATAACAACAACAAACGTTTCACTCCAAACTGATCTCAGCTCCATGATGACGCACATGATGCATGCAGGATGAGTATACCCTAAGCACTGGCCATCTCGAAGGTCAAAATGTCTGTACGTGACGCACAGAGCAACAGAACGGTCATCTCAGTTTGATACACGGATCGTCTGTCTCAGAAACAAGTTCAGATTAAGATCACGTGATCCGGACAGTCAAAGCAACCGGTAAGTAGTTCAGACCGTATGAAAAAATTATTTGAAAATTAAATTAGAAAATTCAATCGGTAATCGGATCGCAAACTGATACAAATCAATTTGAAATACAATACCGCACGAGCTGTGTACCGGGACAATTTTGCTGTCTCGCAACATGATGCATATAGCACAAAACACAATGTTTCTATGAAGTCCCATAGCACGGTAACATGGAAAAGAAAATACATTAAAACAAACAAACCTAAAGGGTAGGGGTAGGGGGTGGGGGTGGTGGAGGGGTAAACGGACTGTGCCATCAGAGTAAAGACAAACAAAACACAAAGTTATTTGTTTTCTAACATCGATAAGGAAAATAGGGCTATCCTCGGTCGATATGAACTTGTTTCTGTAAGCCTTAACAATCTTGCCACCCGTGATTTCTACCTAAACCGAATTTTACTGTTTTACTGTTCTGGGTTGCCATGATAAAGCCTCATTGAAACACTGTGCTTTTTGCAGTGAAATTATCCTGAACATAAATCGTGCAGTGTTGGATTAACAACTAATGGTTCACATGCACCGGATAGTCAAACACAACACTGGTCGGGGGAAGCTGCTGGTACAGCGCGGTATAGAAGTAAAATAAAAAAGAAAGAAAACTTTGCACCGCTTTAGTGTTTTCACTTTTGTCTTAGGAGTCTTTAGCTGACCGAATCTTTCATACTGAGTGTCATCCGATGAACAGAGCAGCTATCAATCGCTGATCCAGTTATGAAAAGAGAGAGAGAGAGAAAAAGAGCAATATTGTACCTGGAAGGAAACACAAATGCAAAAACGTGGATGTAGTATTAGTTGTTGTCAAGTGCGATCACCAAC